CCCCACCTACTGCCGGCATCCGCATCCGATGGGCTCTCATTCTAAAACATCTGCACAAAAGCCCTGTGAGGTGGAGCTGGTGACCCACGATTTTCAGAGTGGGAAACTCAGGAAATGTTTCCTTTTACCCAACAGGTGTTTACCGGGGGTCTTTTGTGTGCCAGCATTCAGTGCTGGGCGATACAGGCAAGAACACAGATAGATCCTGCGGTCTCCTGGAGATCAGAGCCCATGTGAGCGCATCCAGTGAGAAGGCCAGCACAAATCCAAACCAGCCGCATAACTAGCAGTTCAGTCATGGTGGGATACTTCAGAGAGGGCACACGCCTGATGCTTTGAGGCCCTGTGCCAGGAGGTCCGGAAAGAAAGCTGGAGATGGTGGAGGACGAAGGAGAGGCAGAGGAAGGGTGGTGCAAAGCCCCGTGGTGGGAGGGCTCCTGAGGTACTGAGATACTGAAAGAAAGTGCTCAGAGCTGGGGGAGAGTGGATGAGATGAGGCTGCGGGCAGGTTCTGCGGACCTTGCCAAGGGTTCCATGTCTCATTCTAAGACTCTCACGAAGCGTTAAAGGATCTCAGGCAGAGGGAGGGAGTGATGTGAGCTGATTCACATTTTGGACAGTGGACTCAGGCCGCGCTGGGGAGAATGGACTGGAGGGGGTGAAAGTGGGTGTGTGGAGACCAGTTAGATGATCAGCCAGCCCAAGAGTAAGATGACGGCATTTGGTTCATGATGGTGGAGGCGCAGAGTAATCTGTACACTTGGGAAGGTCTCTGAACATAAGGTCTGGGTCCATCACCAGCATCTCACCCCTGGTGGTTTAATGGAATCATCTGTGGGGCTTTCAAAACGTCCAGAAGCCCAGGCATCACCCTAGACTCCCTGAAACAGAAGCTGAAACAAAGACTCTCTTACGTTGATTGATACAACCTATTGGAGGAGAATTTGGAAATATTTGTCAGCTTTTAAATGTTCATATCCTTTAACTAGGCAATTCTACTTCTGGATGTTTATTTTTCAGCTATGCCTTCACGTCGTATGCAAAACTAGGTGCACAACAACATCCATTGCTATCATGATTGTAGTAGTGAAAGACTAGGAACCACCTAAATGCCCATTCACTAAGACACTGGTTAAATGAATTATAGTGCAGCCTTTAAAAATAACGATGTAGGCTATCAAAGATGAGAGAGAGGCGTACTTTTAACTGTAAATCCTTTATTTCCCATAAGAATTAATTTTTGTTGAAATTTTATTTTGTAGTAAGAAAGTTATAGTAAGTTATAGTATATATAGTGTGTGTATATATATATACATATATATAGTATATATATAGTGCATATATATATACATTATATATGCACATACTATATATAGTTATAGTAAGAGGTTTGCATGGTTCAAAAGTCAAAACAATACAAGAAGTACGATAAGAAGTTTTGCTCCCACTCTTGCCCTCTCATCCCATTCCCTACCTCTGCCTCACATCAATAACTGTGGTGGTAGCCAGCCTCTAAGATGGCCACCTGTGATCCCCATCTCCTGGTATTCACACACTTGTGTAGTCCTCTCCTTTACTGTTGGTCTCTGTGACAAATAGCACGTGGAAAGAATGATGGCATGTTACTTCTCAAATTAAGTATAAAAGACACTGTGGCTGCTGTCTTGGGTGCTCCCTCACTTCTTGGATCACTCAGGCTGGGTGGAAGCCATGTTGTGAGCAGCCCTGTGAAGAGGCGCACGTGGTGAGGAACTGAAGCCTCTGGCCAACAGCCAGTGAGGAACCTGCCAGTCAATCCATGAGTGAGCTGGAAGGCAGATCCTCCAGCTCCAGTTGAGCCTTGACATTGCTGCAGCCCCGGCTGACAGCTTGACTGCAGCCTCGTGAGAGACCCTGAGCCAGAACCCCCTGCTAAGCCACTCCTGGGTTCCTGACCCTGAGAAATTGTATGAGATAGTAAATGTTGTTTTAAGCTGCTAAGTTTTGGGGTAATTTATTACATAGCAACAGATAGCCAATATACCACTTTTATTAGTTTATTATTTATCCCTCATGTTTATGTGAATAAAAGCAAATGCAAATATATATTTTTATTTCCTCTCCTTTCTTACACACACAAAAAGTGGTGTACTATATACCCCATTCTATGCCTTTTTTTTCACTTAATGATATTCCTTTGAGATTTCATATCATTATATACAGAATTTCCTCATTCTTTTTACAGCTGCTTAATGTTTCATTGTGTGGAATATTTATTCAGCAAATCTCCTGTTGCTTGGGTAGCTTTCATTATTTTCATTTTTCATTATTACAAATGATGCTGCAATGAATAACCTGAGAATGTATACCTTCATCTGGTTTAAGTGTACCTGTAGGAGAGAATTCCAGAAGTGAAGTTGCTGGGTCAAAGGTACATCTTGCAACTTTGGTAGATATTGCCAGATGCCCCTCCTTAGTGGAAGTGTGCTGTTTAATATGTTTGAATCTTAAATCATGTGCCTGTTTTGCCTTTAAAAAACATCTCTGCAGATGATTCTGATGCTCAACCAAGGTTGAAAATGCACCACTGCTCCACTCTTTCTTGATCAGACACTCTGAGGGGGTGAGGAGGGGAAAGGTTAAAAGCCAACCTCTCCACACGCTCTTAAAGCAGGCACACAACGAAATTTCCAAAAAGCTACTAATTCGAAAGCCCAGGGGAACTCTGAAACTGGGCTGGGATCTCCCGGGGTAGTCTGTAGCCAAGGGTGAAGACACCACCCTGTGGACAGTGGCTTCAGGCTCAGCAGACTCCTGATAAAGGAGAGCAGCATCTGTATGCCAAGGCTCAGACCACCACGGCGCGGGGAAAACCTGGGGGTCAGTGGCCCTTCAGGGTCTGTGCGGGAAGACTCAACCACGCTTCAAAATGACAGTCTGAGCTGGGGCTTAGACAACAGGACAGGGCATGGGGAAAGCTCCAGAAAGAAGGGGTGTGCTCAGGGGGTCTGTCTGGATTATGGGTTGACAAGGCTGGCCTAAAAGTGGTATGGCTATTCTATTACATTGGAAAATGGAGTATTCTTAATATGAATTCATGGTAGGAAAAAAATGCTCACCTCCACAGCCAGCCAGCTGTCTGTGTTATGGATCATTCACTTGTATTTCCACTCAACACGATATGAGGAACTACCCCAAGCTATTAGGAAATGTTCTGCATTAACAATGAGTCTAGATTGTGCCCAGATAAGTAAGTCATGTTCACAGAAAACAGGAGGGTCCAACTCTGCTTTGACACTCTTCTGCAGTTATAATTTTAATTAACTTAACACTTCCCCATCGTTCAAAGATTTTGGCAGCCCTTCTGCCCAAAGGAAGACAAGAAAAATTCCGTTCATGTTTGAAAGCTTACTCTAGAAGATAGCGACACAGTGTAGTCAGGGCAAACATGGGACTTATTGTCAGAAGATTACATTTTCAGTCTAGTGCTATCACTTATTAGCAAATGATCTTGGCAAGCCATTAACCTTCCCAAACGTTAGTTTCTCTAGCTGGTAACTGAGAATAATAACCCCTGGCTTAACCCACAAGCTGGTTCTCAGGACTCCCTTCCAAAAAGAAATACTGCAAAAATGCCTTAGAAAAAAGCGTATGGTCTGTTCCTGATTATAAAAGTGAGTATGTGCTTTGGAGCTTTTATTTAATAACTTCAATGCATATCCATTGTAGAACTTCTACTCCATCTGACATAATTGAGTTGACTCACAGAAAAGTGAATGGTTCTTATAAAAAGTCACTTCTCACCTGTCCTCAGTATCAAGCTTTTAAAATATCAGCTTGGTTTTCACAGGTTCACAAACCTGCTCCCACAGAAGCCACCCCAGCCCTTGCTCAGTTCAGCAACCTCGGAGTCATCCATGACTCTTCTGTAATATCCGTATGAGGATGGACTCTTCATATCAACCCATCAGCAAATCTTGTAGGTTCTGCCATCAAAATACAGCCACAGTCTGACCAGTTTTCCCCAGCCTGGTCTGGGCCACCAAGATCATTGCAGTAGGTTTTTTCTAGCTCTTCATGCTCCATCCTTACCCACACACCATTGTACACAGCGGCCCTTTTAAAATGAAGTGAGATCATGTCACTCCACTCAAAATCCCCCAGTGACCCCTTCTCATTTAGATAGCACCGCTGCCCCTGATCATCTCCTGCCAGGGTTACACTTGGTATCCTTGCCTTTCCTGAAACATGCCAAGCATGCTCCTATCCCTGCCGTTTGCAAATTCTTTCTTGGGGGTGCTGTTCTTTCCCAAGTACTACGCATTCGCTCTTCTCTTTCTTCTGGGGTCTGTGCAGTGTCACCTTATCTGACTCCGGCACTTAAAAATAACAAACCCTCCCCATACCCCACTCCAGTGGGCACTTGCTAACCCCCTTAGCCTGCTTTTTTTCCATAGCACTTTCCTCATCTGACATATATATGTTTGTCTATTGATTGTCTTCCCCCCTCTTCCCTCCCACCTCTGCTGCCAAATGTAAGCTTTACAAAAGCAGAAACTTTATTTCATTCATCATTATATCCACAGAGCCTAGAACAGTGCCTGACTCATAGAGATTCACGAAATATTTGTTGACTGAATGAACAAATGAATGAATGTACCTAAGTGTGACACATACATGCATACCTAAGTAGATACGTGGATAAGTTGATATTACACTTATATGATAACCAGTGAAATTGAACTTATTGTCTAACATTTACAGGCCATTTATATCTCTCCTTTTGTAAACTGTCTTTTTGTGTCTTTTGTTCATTTTGTCCTATGGAGATGATGATCTTGTTTTATGTGCTCTTTATATATTAAGAATTTTTGCTCATAGATATGCTTTCTATTTTGAAATGTCCATTGTGGGATAAGAGGCCACTTTAAGGTGTCTGAAATATCTTTTAAGATTGAATAAGTCACTAATGTATAAATCATTTCCTTCTTCTGTCTCTCCAATTCTAATTGGATTCTCAGAATTGGATTCTTGTGCTTTGGGGGACCATGGTTGTGAACATTCATGTGTAAGCAGTGAAGACTCTTTTGTGTGCCAGTGCTTTGAAGGGTACATACTCCGTGAAGATGGGAAAACCTGCAGAAGTAAGTTTTTACTGGAGTCTGACCTCTGCATGAAATCTACCACCCCGTTCTTTGTGTGAATCGGTCACTCTCAGAAGCCAATGCCACATGACCACTAAATGTAATGTGGGGTCTTGGGTGGGATCCTGGATCAGAAAAACAACATTCAGCAAAAACTAAGGAAATGGAAAAGAACTATGGACTTTAGTTGGTGATAACGTATCAGTATTGGTCCATTAATTGTAACAAATTATCACACCAATGTAAGATGTTATAGGGAAACTGGGTATGGGGGTTTATAGGAACTCTCTGTATTATCTACTCAATTTTCTGTAAATCTAAAACTGTCCTAAAAGATAAAATCTAGAAAAAGAGAAAAAAAACCAACATACAAATGGACAAACAAAAAAAATCAGTGCCAGAGCTAACCACTGAAGTTACTCATTTATGCCCTGTAATATATAAACTGGTTTAGCAGGATGCCCTAGTAGAAAGACGTCCAGTCTGAAATCCAGGATTCTCTCAACTTCTAGCTCTGCCATTCATTAGCTAGGCAAGTTGCTTAACTTCTCTGAGCCCCTGTTTATTTATCTTTAACAGGATTTGTTTCTGGTAGCACAAATCCCTCTTGGAGACCCCCTTATGATGAAGCCGTTCTTACATCTCAGAAAGCAAAGCCTCTTAGATGGGGCCAAGACACATCTCTGTATAAGCAAAGAAGCGTATGTAGCCCTGAGCAAATGATTTCTGTCCCTATCAGTCATCTTTTTGTGAAGGTTCTCAAAGCACTTTATAAAAAAACAGCTCATGGTGACACATTTGAAGAAAATATGGGTAACTGGAATTATTACTCTCATTTTTCAGACAGGAAAGGTAAGGCTCCAAGAGGTTAAGTGATTCTCCCAAGTCATATAATATGTCAGGGACAAAGCCAAAATTAGATTTCAGTGCCACTAATCTAAATTGAGGTTTAATTCTCAAAGTAATTATCCCAACAGTGTTTCCTTTCTGATATCAGAAACTACATCCACAGAATGCTCACGATGGACTGCATTTTTATGAGACACTGAAGTAGGTGCTGGTGGCTGATGATGGTGATGATAGGAAGTTTGAAGGGTTAGCCCAAATTAGAACAGCTGAACTTCATCCTCGATTTCACCTTCCTCCCTGTGGATCGCTGAGCTCCAGTGGCTCTGGAGTCCAGTGGCTCTGGAGTCCAGTGGCTGAGATGGATGGATTCCCTGACGTGAAGCCCAGGGAAAATTGATGTTGATGAAATTGTTTTAACTTGCTCTGCTGTCCCCAGGGGAAGATGTCTGCCAAGCAGTAGACCATGGCTGTGAGCACATTTGTGTGAACAGTGACGATTCGTACATCTGCAAGTGCTTGGAGGGATTCCGGCTCGCCGAGGATGGGAAGCGCTGCAGAAGTAAGTAGGCTCAAGGTAGAGATGAACTCTTCCAGCTGTGCGACTCGGACAGTGACATAACTTCACCGAATCTTAAAATCTTCCTGTGCAACCAATGTCACAATTCTAAGTTCCTGCCCTGGGTACTCTGAAGTGTTTGGTAGTGATCAGTATGGGAGACCCTTAGTTTTTAGGAATTTCTCAGTCAAGGTCCTGAGTTGTCAGGCTCTTTGCTCCTTTTCTTTTTCTCTCGGCTGCTAGCCCTCTCCACAGTAGTTGTGTGGATGCCAGAGCCTAGCACAGTCATTGAACTGAATTAAATCTCTGCCAGCAATCACCATGAGGATCAAAAGATAATTATAGTGCTCTTTCTTTTTGGAAGACCTGATAAGTAAGGGTAGAGGGTGGGAAAGGGGCTGAAGGAGTTTCTGTAGGTTTTATTTATCCATTCCCTCTGTCATTTGCTTCTATAGGTCACTCAGGATAGATTCTGAGAGTTTACTTAGAAGCTGTATTAGGGTTCTTCAGAGAAACAGAATCAATAGAATGTGCGTGTGTATGTGTGTGTGTATAAATGTATGTGTATATGTGTGTGTACATATATGTGTGTGTATACGGGGGGAGGTGAAGGGAGAGAATGATTATTGGGGTTGGCAAGTCTGATATCCACAGGGTAGGCCAGCAGGCTGGAGACCCAGGGAAGAGCTGGTGTTGCAGCTCTAATTCAAAGGCAGTCTGGAAGCAGAATTCTCTCTTCTTTGGGGGAATTCAGCGTTTTTTTCTCTTAAAGCCTTCAAGTGATTGGATGAGGCCCACCAACATGATGGAGGATAATCTGCTTTACTCAAAGTCTACTTATTTAAATGTTAATCTCACCTAAAAAATACGTTCACAGCAACATCTAGACTGCTGTTTAACTAGACAACTGGGCAGCATAGCCTAGCAAAGGTGACACAAAAAATTAACCATCACAGTACCCAGAGGAAGAGAGAGTCGCGGACACACGAGCTCAGTGAGGTGGGCATTAGAAGAGTACAGGGCAGGAATTTTCCTCCACTGTAAAATTTGAGCTGTTAATCTCTACTTTTGGGCAGTATGACACTGTCTACTTGCTTTGCAAGATTTTGCCCCAGTGGGCAGGATGGCCCTTTTTTAGTTAAGACAAAATAAATTCATTTGCTTTTGAGGTTGATTTTGGGGAATTTCCTCAGAGACTCCTTTGAGATAAGTGGGGGCCCTCCACATGTCAACAAAGCTGGGTTGGGTGGAATTCACTGTCTTCATTCTTCCGCCAGGAAAGGGGCTCCTACCTTTAGTGAGAAGTTCTGTTGGAACACCTGACTCCTGAGCTGCTCGTGGGACCCTGGCCTAGCTCTGCAGGGCTCCCTGCACAGTCCGCATTTTGCCTTCAGACTATGGTGTCCCTTCTGTGGAGGCCATGTCTGCAGTTCTGCCCATTTAGTCTGCCTGAGTCATTTGTTCATGCTTTTATTTCTATAAATGCGAGCATACACACACACACCATTTATTCATTCAGCAGATTTATCGCTCAATAAATTGAGCTATTGTACACAAGCCATGCCTTCTACCTCTGGAATCTGATGACTAAATCAAATCCCACCATTTGCACTTCCTAGAGGGATCTCCAGTACACCCATTCCAATTTTGTAGGAAGCTGCTTCGTTTAGGGAGCTAATGAGAGAAAAGAACTGTAGGCTTTCATGCCATGGAGGAGGGGTCTCAGGAGACATCACACCTCAGCTGTGTCATCAGCTTGCTGCATGACCTTGGCAACTCTGTGGAACTTTCTGAGTTTCTTCATTTATATATTGGGTCCAATTATCCCTGCCTTCCTCTTCTCACAGGATGTTATGCAGATTAAAGTGCTGTAACTACTTTGAAGAGTTTGAAGCACCTCACACATGAGAAACGTTCATCAGACAATTAAAACTGGCGTATTTGGGATGTCCATGGGGAAAAATCAGTAGCTTGGGAAGGTCAAAACCCAAAGCACATTGAACACTTCTAAAAATTAATAGTAAATCTAGGACACCCAGTCACCTGTCTTACCATTCAGGCTTGTGGGAGCTAGAGCTTTCTGAGAAGAGCTTTTCTCTTACTGTGCCCTATCCTGAATATTAGACTGAAAAGAAGATGTTAAAAGGAGGTTTGAACAGAGATGGATTTTTAAAAAATGGATTACTTCCGTGAACTGTCCTGACATGACTGTTCAATCCAGTTCATTTCTACACTGATGTAGTTGCTCAACTCCCTACATTTTCCTCAGGGAAAGATGTCTGCAAATCGACCCACCACGGCTGCGAACACATTTGTGTTAATCGTGGCAGTTCCTACATCTGCAAATGCTCAGAGGGATTTATTCTAGCTGAGGATGGAAGACGGTGCAAGAGTAAGTGATCGAAACTTGGCTTTCTGCTTTAATTCGCCTTGGGAGCAATTGCTTTCTGGAGTGTTTTCGGGAAACAAAGACCTCCCCTCTGCTTCTACCATAAATGTAAATGTGTATATATAAATACAAATAGGGAAGAGAGAGCTTAACTGCAACGCTTGTGAAAAAACTTTTGGTTTTAGTTGACAGTAAGTTCACTATCAGCAAAAGGCTAGAGTAACCTTAGCTGAATAAGAATATCTCAAATGAGGGAAGTAAGACTTGTGCTCTGTTCTGTGCTGGAGAATTACCTTCAGTTTTTGGCATTGCACTTTAGGAAGAGAGAGATGAATCAAAGACTCTTGAGAGAATTACTTTATAATCTCAGAGTAGAAAAGACTTTTCTAAACATGACATGAAACATAAAAGCCATAAAAGAAAAAAAGGGAAAATGTATAGTAAGAGATTAATGCTACGATACTTTTGTTTTTTTGGTGAGGAAGATTACCCCTGGGCTAACATCTGTGCCAATCTTCCTCTATTTGTATGTAGGAAGCTGCCACAGAATGGCTTGACAAGCAGGGTGTAGGTCCATGCCCAGGATCCAAACCCACAAACCCCAGGCCACTGAAGCAGAACACGTGAACCTAACCACTGTGCCACTGGGCTGGCCCCTACATTTTTTTATCTGTTATCAGAGATCAAAAAGTCTGATGATTCCTTATGTTGGCAAAGGTACATTGTAATAGTCAATGATAAATTTGTTACTAGGTGTCTGAATTGGTACAACCTTTAGGAGGGCAATTTGGCAATATTTTAAAGGGAATTCCACTTCTAGGAGTTCATCCTACCAATAAGTGCATATATATATACAAGGATATTTTGTGCAGCATTATTTGTTGCAGCAAAAAATTGAAAACAAGGTAAATGTCCACCCATAAGAGGCTGGTTAGATAAATTATGGTGCCACTATATGATAGAATACTATACAGCTGTTACAAAGAATGAAGCAGCTCTAGATGTATACCCAAGATATTTTAGGTGAAAAAAGCAGGGTGCTGAATGGTTTTCATAGTATGCTACCATTGCTGTATTCTGCAAAAGGCTCCAACATACATTCTCCCTCGATACAGATATAGATACACACACACAGCCCCTTTGTAATATTTGAACTTTGTTCCATGTGCATGTGTTATTAAAAAAAATTTTTAAAGAAAAAGGGTAGAGACAAACAAGATTTAGAAAGCATCATGGTGAGGAAGTACAATGTCAAGTGAAATGTAAAGTAAGAAACTGAGGATCTTTGTAGAAAAAAAGACTTGAGCTACCATTCAGATACCAAAGTGACAGTCACCTCATTCATGATTTATATGACCTCTCCCCATAAGGGAAAGGCAGGCCATGGGGGAGAAGCTACAGCTTAGTCGGAGGACAAAGACACTTTCTCTCAGGGAAGCTGTGTGATTGATTAGTTAAGATCATGAGCTTTGGGTCAGACAGACCTGGATTTGAGCCCCTATTCCTACACTTGGGTGACCTTAGAGAAATCATTTAACTTCTCTTGAGGCTCAGTTTCTTCATCTATAACATGAGGATACTATCTCACAGAATTGTTGTAAATGAGATCGTGTATTTAAAGGTGCTTAGCCCAGTGCCAGCACCCTCAGCTTGACATTTTTGTTAGTGGTTTGACAGATGACAGCTATTGTAATCATCCACAGCAGAGCTGTCCAAAGCTGGGGCTTCAGGGGTGAGGTGAGGAGTTCCTCAGCAGGAGAGGTGTTCAGGCCCAGCCTGAATGGTACTGGTAGGGATGTTGGAAAGGTGTAAGCAATAGGAGGCCTACACTAGATGACCTTTAAAGGCCTTGTCTGATCCTGAGATTCCGGAACTTTGTGAAAATTAAGTTCTGAAAGCAAATCACAGCTCCATTCCAGTCTCATTGATTCAACTACCAAAAGAAAATGCCCAAGCAAAGTTGGAGTGACCCTCCTGCAAACAAGTAGCCAGCAAGGGGGTCTGTCATTCTTCCTGAGTCTGAAAGCAAAAGTCTGGCACTTCTTGGGGCCAGCCCATGGCTGAGTGGTTAAAGCTCCACATGCTCTGCTTTGGTGGCCCAGGTTCGTGGGTTCAGATCCTGGGTGCAGACCTACTCCACTCATCAGCCATGGTGTGGAGGCATCCTATATACAAAGTAGGGGAAGATTGGCACAGATGTTAGCTCAGGGCTAATCTGCCTCAAGCAAAAAAAAAAGAAAAAAAAAAGGAGGAAGATTGGCAACGATGTTAGCTCAGGGTGAATCTTCCCCACCAAGAAAAAAAAAGTCTGGCACTTCTTGCCCTGGTCTTCTTCCACTCTACCTAGCTGTCTTGTTTCCTGGAGAAGTCTTCTGTGCCCCTCTGTGCAGGGATGCTGCAAGTGCTGGTTTTGTTCTGTAAGAAAAGAGTGAATGGGGAAGAGAAAACAGACTCACTGCTGAAAAATTATTCCAGCATTTCTGAAATCTGCTGGAGAGCCTTGTGCACACCACCTGAGTCTTTTTTTGGTTGATTCAAGAACAGGCTGTGAATGTAAATGAAGCTCTGAATTGGCCTTTTCCTCTTTCACTAATGTAGGATCAATAGGTTGAGTAATGAGAACAAGCACTTAATGGAGAAAGAGAAGAACCCAGCCCCTTAACACACACACACACACACACACACACACATCAGCATGTTATTCAGGCCAGGCATTGAAATAATTTTGCTTGTGTGTGTCTTTACTTATATTGCGCGTCACTTTCAAAGATTAGACAGCTGCTTGATATGTGAAAGAGGATGCTATACTGCATACTGCAGACTGTTTGGAATGAGATCATCCATTTGGGATCTGTCCGTTTTTCTTATGCAGCCCTAAATAACAAAAAATCTCTCCACACCCAGCTTACTTAAGTATTTGCATAAAGCTTTTACTGTCAACCATCTGAGTTGCCTGAAAAGCTTCCATGTAGATAATTATTCACAGTGATAATTCATTTTTGAGCTTTAATAATATGCTACCCAGTGGACACCACCTCCTTCATTTATTCTGTCAACCAGCATTTATTGAACACCTACTGTGTGCCAGGTAGTGGGGGTACAGAAATGAATAGGACTTGGTCCTTGCTGAGGAGGAACTGCAGACCAGAGGAGGAGACTGACACGATCAGATAGCTGGCGTACAGTGTGGAGGACTCCATAGAGTAGTGTCAGGGATTCTGCTTTGGTCACTGTTGCATCCTGCTGCGTCTGCTGCCTTGCACAAAGAAGGTGCTCAATAAACAAATTTTTGTTGACTAAATTAGTAGTGTAGCTAAATTACTAGAATAACTTAGGAGTACACAGAGAGTAACTAATACAAGCTGGGTTCCTAGGAAAGCTCCCTGGAAGAAGTGATGGCTGAGCTGAACTTTAAGAACTTCCTTCTCTATCGTCTGTTGGAATGCAGCACTGGGGTGATGTCACTCTCCTGGAGTAAAGTTAGAGGACTCTTTTGGGTGCTCAGACCCTTCAGCCTAGTCTACACACAGTCCCTCCCAGACCTGGCTGTCAGTGACCCAGAGTACAGTCTGACCTGGTTTCCAATTCGTACCTCTGCTGTGTGTTTTTGCTTGTGAAAAATACTATTTTTATCAATTTAACAAGCCACATATAAAGGCAAATGTGAAAATTATGGTTGCTCGTTACTCTCCCAACACTTCAATCTGCCCTGTGTATTATCTAAAGAACAAAGGTGGTTCTCCAAAGTAGTTATGCCCCCAGTTGGAGCATAGTCGTCTTCTACTCTTGTGCATAAATGACATTTATCATTTAACTATCTCAACATTCCTTTGTTCCTGTAGGATGCACTGAAGGCCCAATTGACCTGGTCTTTGTGATCGACGGATCCAAGAGCCTTGGAGAAGAGAATTTTGAGATTGTAAAGCAGTTTGTCACTGGAATCATAGATTCCTTGGCGATTTCCCCCAAAGCCGCGAGAGTGGGGCTGCTCCAGTATTCCACGCAGGTCCGCACAGAATTTACCCTGAGAAACTTCGGCTCCGCCAAAGACATGAAAAAAGCTGTGGCCCACATGAAATACATGGGCAAGGGCTCTATGACTGGCCTGGCCCTGAAACACATGTTTGAGAGAAGTTTTACCCAAGTAGAAGGAGCCAGGCCTCTCTCCGCACGGGTGCCCAGAGTGGCCATCGTGTTCACAGACGGACGGGCTCAGGATGACGTCTCCGAGTGGGCCAGTAAAGCCAAGGCCAATGGTAATATGCGATGGAGGTGTGGTTTACACCACTCACAGTTCAGGTTTCTTAAACTCACTCAGTGGTCACAGCTGCCATAGGGGTGAGATTCTTTGAGCGTACAGAAAGGCTTCCTGTCAACTGCTGTTATACACCTTTACTAAACTGTCACCTAGAGGCCTTAAAGGGACCCCACAGGAGTTAAAGGACTCAGGAAGGATGTGAAAGGCCGACTGCTGACTGGGTGGTTAGTCTACACACAGACCACACTTGAGTAATCATCTACCACGATTTACTAGCCAGTGTGTGACCTCAGGGGAGACAATCAGCCAACCTCGCACAGTCTGTTTTAACCACAGATAAATACAAAACAGTTCCCAAACACTGTCTGGTCGCTTTAGAATCACCTGAAGGGTTGGGTAAAACTAGATTCCTTGTGGGAGGAACTTTTACTGAGACCTTTTTTTTTTTAAACCAGTGCTTCAGTTGAACATTCTCAAAGTGCAATAGCCTCACGATAGTGAATATTCCTATGTTTCAAGGAGGCAAATTTAGCTTTTGAGATAATCAAAATATTGGAATAGACTGACTCTATAACTCTTGTTTCTCGGTAAAGCTCAGCCTCTTCTCTGTGGTTTTTCTGACCCCATGTATAATGCACGGAGGGACCTGAGTTTCCTTTAGTTGTGTATATATGTGCAGTGTGGCAGAGGAGTGTGGCCCTTGGAAAAGGAAACCCAAAACCTAGGATGACTGGTAGAGACAGCTTAAGGTGAAGTGTCTGGATTCCTTGGGGTGATAAGAAAACTTGAGGCTGTGAAGCAGTTGGCTTGAAAGCCACTTTCTTTAAGAACTTGTTGAGGGCCCCCTGCTGTCACAGGTCCTCTAAGGGGAAAAACGGAATTTGCACACCAGGGGCTTCATTCAAGACTTTATGGACCCAGTGCCTGGATCAGGCCTGGCATGCAGTATATGTGTGACTAATACTTGCTGAGTGAATGAACACAGAAGTGAAAGTGCTAGCAATTCCTTTAGTGAATTCCATTCCTCCCCACAGAAAGGCTGGTTCACAGCAACATTCAATCACTCTCTTTGTGAAGGAGGCCATTTTATTGATATTGCTTACCTCACTATTCACTCCTTTTTCCTAGCCCAGTAGAGTAGTAGCCACAAAAGCGGTCCTGCCCTGAATCATCTGGGTGGATTGTGAAACTGGCTGCTCACGCACAGTTCCTCTGCTTCTAGACTAGCTTGCTAGAGCTCATGTCAAACCCATGGGCCCCTAAAGACTGCATTCTTAAAATGTCTTGGGGAAAGCATCTTGTCTCCAAAGACAGTGGTTAGCCCTTTTGTCTCACTAAGACTAATCTACCCTACTCTTTCCCCCACTCGAATTTCCACCAGTCACCGAAAGGTAGGTGGTAGGAGAAACAGATGTTTATTTGGTTCTTTGATCAACAAGATTTATCTGAAGTGACATCCCCTAATGAATGTAATTACTCCTATGCATAGCTAACACAATCTTAAAATAGTAGTTATCCTTTTTTGGAAGTTGTGCATCAAGTCACTGGGCTCCCAGACAAACATGCTGAACTTGGCTACTGACCTTCCAGACTTAGAACAAGGCATAACTCTTGCTCCTTGGTTTGAAGAGCTGTTTTTATGTGTATTTAAAAACAAAATCTACTGTAATGAATTACCCAGAATAAGATATCAGTGCTGAAAAATGTTGAAAACCAAGCAGAACTTAAGTTCTTATTGTGTTTTACTTTCAAACGAAGAGTATATGGGAGAAGGGAGTCTAATGATTAATTTTGTATAGAAAAGCTTTTGGAGCAATCTCATATCCCCTTTGAAATCTAAGGTTGATACCTGGGTTTGTTCTGACTTTGGGATTCCAGTGGTCTGCAGATTCTCCTTTTCAGCTTAGCACCTCCTCACAAGGCTTTGTCCTCCCAAGAGGAGTGGACAGAATGCAGCTGCACTTGGCCCCAGGTCACTTAAACTACCTACCCTGTACCTTCGAGAGGTAGAAACCAGGTTATAAGGTCATAAATTGACCTGCTGCTTAGAATTTTCCCAGAAGAGATTCCCATTTGTAAGCCAAAAATATAGTGCTCTCTTCTACTTTATCCACAAGGCTAATTCAGGGAAACGTTGAAGATTTATTAAATGACCTTGCCCAGAGCTGAACAAGAGGTTGGTGGTCTAGCTCGCCAACCTCTCCTAGATGCCTCACCTTCCTTTATCTTGGATGCCTCTCTTTTGTTCATAGAGCCAAAATAAAATGGTGGAAAAATAAAGGGAGGTTGACATGGACCGCTCAAATCACACCACTTAATATCTAGCTGGCTTTGGGTGCAGTACGCACAACTTCCAGACCCTGGGAACACAACTCTAACTATCTTGCTCTTAATTTGCTCTGCACCTTAGGTATAACTATGTATGCCGTCGGGGTAGGAAAAGCCATTGAAGAAGAACTACAAGAGATTGCCTCTGAGCCCATAGACAAGCATCTCTTCTATGCAGAAGACTTCAGCACAATGGGGGAGATCAATGAAAAACTAAAGAAAGGCATATGTGAAGGTACTATAACTTACCTCTAGGAGAGATCTTAGCAAACAGGGCAGCACAAACCCTTGAATGAGAAATTCTCAACCCATTCCTTCAAAGTGCTCAAAAAAGTGCCTACCTGGTGTGCAGGGCCAGTGATGCCTGTAAACACTAAGCACAAAAAATGGAACAGGGGAGAGAGAAGACAAAAGTAACAGCAAACACTGTTTGAGCACTCGCTCCGTGTCGAGCAGTGTTTTGACACACCAGAATACTTAATCCTCACAAAGACCCTATAAAAATGATCATTTAACAAGAAACAACCATTATATATATCAGGAGAGCTGATGCGCAATTTCAGGATGTGCCTGGGATTGGAGTGGAAAAGGATGGTAGTCCTTTCAAGCCCACTGTTGACTATTTAACAAATGCCTTCCTGCATGGACCACTTCTATTTACAGAATATTAGACTGCCCTTTACCATTCAGATTTTATGTCCAAGAGCTCTCTATGCTTTTCTCCAATTCACTCATTGTGCCAGGTATGCTAACATAGAGCAGTTCTATCTATTTTCCCCTTTACTCATGTCCCAGCTTCAGTCACCAATAAAATCCCAGTCTAAGTGATGTGTCTTACTCCTCTGAAGGAAAGATCAAGGAGGTGAAGGGGAACCAAGAAAGGAAGGCCTTTCAGATTTCTAATGAGAACAGATGATGTTTTGCCTCTAGGCTGTTTCATTCAAGTTGAAATGCCTCAAGTCAAACTTAATCAAACTTTTGTTGCCACCTTACCTTTTTTTTTCCTTCCCCAAAGCTCCAGTGCATGGTTGTATATCCTAGTTGTAGGTTGTTCTCATCTGTGTGAGCCACCACCACAGCATGGCAACTGACAGACAAGTAGTGTGGTTCTGCAACTGGGAAACAAACCCAGGCCACCAAAGCGGTGAGCACCACACTGTAACCACTAGGCCATCAGGGCTGGCTCCCCACCCTACCTTCTTGACATGATATTTTTGGGGGCATTCTTAAGATGCATTTTAGGGGTCCAGACTTCTCTTACTAGAGAGAACTGCCCTAGAGTGGTCTTGGATTATCTTGGTAACCAGTTGTTTTTTGAATTTGTGTTGTTATGAAATAAAACCAAAACACCCTGGGTTACAGCAGGTAGGTAAGGAATTGGTCTGGGACCAGTTTCCTAGAGAACACATGATGCATACAGACAATTGTCACTCCTTTTGGTCATGTTTTTCCTCTCAGCTCTGGAAGACTCTGATGGAAGTCAGGATTCCCCAGCAGGGGAACTGCCAAAGAGGGTCCACCAGCCAACAGGTAAATTTTAAAAAGCAGTGTTTTTAGAATCTTTCATGAATGCTTCTACCATGCTTCCCCCCCAGACAAAAGTTGTAAAGAAGTAAAAGTAAGATTTGAATCATGTTAGCTATGGCTTTTTTCCCCTCAATCAGATTGGAAGCATTTACTTTACACTTTAAACCATATTTGGTAATAGCCTCTCTGCTGACAGTCTTTTTACCACAGTATGTCCCAAAGTAAAGCTGTCTCCCATGCTAGAAATACCAAGTACCTTACTCTGACAGCTGATGGCTGTTTTATAACCACAACCGTGTTAAACAGGTTTGACTTCAGTTTTCTTTCTCTTTACAGAATCTGAGCCAGTCACCATAAATATCCAAGACCTACTTTCCTGTTCTAATTTTGCAGTGCAACACAAATATCTGTTTGAAGAAGACAATCTTTCACGGTCTACACAAAAACTTTTTCATTCAACAAAATCTTCAGGTAATTCCAAGTAAAATATCACTAAAAGGTAACTTGCCAACAAGTTTGCCTGCCAACAAACTCAGCTTAAAGTGGGAAAGGAAAGGAGGAAGTAGGAAATAGGATAGGGGAAAAGAGAAGTTAAGTAAAACGAGAACTAAAAGAAATAAACTAGAAGAAACTGAGTACATAGTCTTCCCCCAGACCACAATAAAGGCCACTTCCAGTTTGGAAGCATATACAGCCCTTTCCTGGTATTTACTGGATCTGGCTGCATGGAAAAAGTGGAACATTTCTTTCATTATGGTTTCCTCCATATGCTGATTCAGTCCTATTATTATGTGTCTGGGAAGTCTGGTGAGTTATAGAGGTGAACACTTTCCATCTGCTTTTGCAGGAAGTCCTTTGGAAGAAAAACCCGATCAATGCAAATGTGAAAACCTTATGATGTTCCAGAACCTTGCAAATGAAGAAGTAAGAAAATTAACACAGCGCTATATCCTTTTCTGTTATGCTTCTGTATGGAATGCAAAGGATATTATCAGAACTTCACAAATACTATATATGGGTATAAATCAAATGAAGTCATTTCCATAAAGAATAATGAACTCCAGGAAAGATTTTCTTAAATACCTGATAGGTGTTTGAGAGCCAAGGGCAAGCCAAGCTTAGTGGCAAGGGTCAAGCACTTAGTTGCTATCTGTGTTCTAGAGGGTTTAGCAATAAGGCAGTCAGCCAGTCAGTATGCAAACGAAAGAAAAAACAGTTAACTCCCTCTCTGCTGGGAGGAAATGAAGGATATATACTAGGTCTGAAGTGCATCAAAGGGACAGTATGTATAGGCAAAGCAAGCTGTAGAATGAAGAGGTTTCAAACTCCATCTAGACTGCAAACCTTTCCTCTGGCCCCAAGCCACATCACAGCCACATCTGGTCAGTGTGGAGTTTCTAGAGGGCTGCAGTGGGTCTTTTTGTTTATTTGGCAGCAGAGATCTTTTATATCAGCACTCTGAGATGAAACATTCTACTGAGAGAACAGCAGGATCCAATGATTCACTGGAATAATACAAATAAAAGGAATGCTTTGAGATAATGGAGAAATGAGGATTCACTGCTTTTACACACTTAACACCCTTGCCAACTGCTCTGAACTTAAAATTACAGTAAGCTTACTCAAACTGGCTGGTATCTCTCAACATGCACCAACTAATCTAAAGGGAAATGACTTAATTCTGAACTATTTCTGTGCCATTGGCTTTATGTAAGGAACGGCATACAGCCTTTCCTTTTCTGAAAGCAGAAATATGCTCCCCTGAGTAAAATAATCTGGCAGTGTTTAATATAGATTATGAATCTGGGCCTCTAATTCTGCCATCAAGGGGACTAGTGGAGGATATTAGGGAGTTTACAGGGAGGAAGACAAATGCTTATTCTAATGCCCCTCCCCTCTCTCCCAGCCCACTTCTGGTCTATTTACAAGAGACTAAGGAAGTTATATCTAAAGTAACATAGGGCAGAGACTTCAAAGCTGGCCTATCTGGCATCATAGGTGAAAACTCCCCCTCTCTCTTCTGACCTCCTATCTTACTTTCCAAGGCCTAATCCTTTTGTTTTCCCTTCACCACATTCCAACATTATCAATTCTGGCTCCCAGAGGTGTGCTATGGCAAACTAGTTTACAAGCAACAGGGGTGTGAGTAGAACTAAAAATTAAAAAAAGAATTCGAACTGAGCTATTTGTCTTTAACCTGAAAAAGATTTATAGTCTTGAAAGCATGTGTTAAATGAGTTACTATCAACTTACAAGTGAGGATTTTAAAATTCTTAACTGAAATGGAACAACACAAAGCCTTGTATTTTTCAGGACAAATTTTTATGTAGATAAATCAAGTTGTATTTGAATGTAGATAAAAATAGGCAATTCAGATTCCTCCTCTTCCTTAATTTGAGATTTACTAGAAGAAATGACACAGAGAATGGAAGCCCTGGAAAATCGCTTGAGATACAGATGAAGACTCGAAATGCTTTACGTATTTGTACATCATTGTATCAAGGATTACAACAAAAGCAGTTCAGAGCCCCAAAGCTCAGGCTGTTAATTCTTTAAGGTTGTAAAGTAAAACATAAGTGAGAAAGCTGGTTTGCTATACAACAAAGGCAAAAGGTAGACACTCACTTGTATAAATTTGAGAATAAAAAAATCTTTCAGAATCTTAAAACGAGTTTGCCAAGTGAGAACAAATAAACTATGCAAGATATTCTGTAACATACTGTGGATATGTTTTTCTTCTGCCTCTTCCTGCCTTAGAGTGTTGCAATCTCATTTGACTACAAAATAAAGTTTGCACAGTCTTACTTCTGTAGAACACTGGCCATAGGAAAAGCTGTTTTTTTTTTGTATTGGACTTTACCTTGATATATGTATATGGATTTATGCATAAAATCATAGAACATATGTACTTGTGTAACAAGTTGAATTTTTTTTACACAATATTAAAATTCACTTCAGAGAATGGTATTCTGTGTAAAATTCATTTAACTTTAAATGCAAGGGATGTATACATGAGAAATGGCCAATATGCATATGAAAAACATGTGAAATCTCACTAGCAATCCGGAAAATGCAGGTTAAATCAGCTTGGCAAAAATTTGTATGTCTGACTATAGTGCTGGAAACAATGTGGAAATATGGGGCTCTTGTACACTGCTAGTAAGAATGCAAATGGGTGGTCTCTTTGGAGAATAATCAGTCAATACCTAGTAAAACTGAAAATGCACACAACCCTGTACTCTTAGCAACTGCACTTACAGGTATCTAACTAGATGGTTTTAGCAAATACATTCAAGACCTGTACAAGAATGTTACTGGAGTTTCTAACAGTAACACATCAGAAGTAACCTAATCATCATAAAGGGAAATGATAAATTGTGGTGTAGTCCACCCTTCAGAAATACTATACAATATTTAAAAGAAATGCACTAAATCAACATATATACATGGTAAAACTCAAAAAGATGAATTTAAAAAACCAATGGCAAAGTATGTTTAGCATACCGTTTCTGTAAATTTAAAAAAAAAACAAACATTACTAGTTGTTCAAAAATACATAAATATGTACATTTAAGTACAAGAAATGTTCTAGAAGGATATACACAAAGTGGTTTCCTGGGAAAATAAGGAAGTAGGACTAGGAACAGGGTCAAAGGAGACTTGAAGTGTACCAGCAGTTCAAGGCACTTGCAGCAAGAAACGCTACAGGTGGCAGCTTCTTTACGAAATGAAGACACCCAAAATGACATCCTTCCCATGGAAGCTGTTTTGGAGACCAATGATACTTTACAAAAACAAAACACGTTGAATAAGCTTATGTTTAAATACTTCAAGATAAGTATTTCCATCAGAATGTCCTCCTAAAGGGCATCGTGGTCAAGTGGGAAGAACATTTCCAAGGCTGCAATCACATTTGAAAATCCTGATTCTTTCCCAGTACAAAAGTTGTGATTGAAAGTATTAAACCTTCAGTTTATATATGAGTCATCCGTTTGATCCTGAAAACACATTTTCATTAGGAAGCACTAATTTGGGTTGGCATTACCTTTTAAGATGTAATTATAGTTCAGGCATAGCTTCTAGTTGACTCAATTCTACTTCACTTCTGTTGAGTCCTGGCTCCCCCTAGTGGCTCTAAAGACTGCCTGTGCCCCATCCCAATGCAATATTCTTTTAAGCTATTAAATACATATAATCACAGGGTTTTCAAATTTCCCCAATTTGGGGAGGAAAACGCCTTCATGGAAAGCAAAGGCCTCCAATCAATCCATCAAATTTACAGATTAACCCAAGATATTTAAGATTGTCTAAAATTTGAAATATTTCTCCATTTTCCGTTTTGCTAACTGTGTACATCTCAGGTATAAGGGTTTTGCATTCTAGTTTCATTTACTGTGTGACCTTTCCAAGCCTTGATTTCCTCATATTTAAAATGAGACTAATTGTACTAGCTCATTGGGTTGTCAAGAGGATTAAATGAGTCAACATGCACTACTTAGTAAAGTAACTAACATTTTAAATGCTTAATATTAATTTTTATTCTTCAGCAGCCAAGAGAAGAGTATCTAACACAAAGATGGTGCTTTAAGTGTACATTAAGTGAATGAATGGATTCTTTGCTTACCTTACATGAGGTACGTACTTTGGCAGATTTCCACTCCTAAACTATCTTTTGAAGCAAACAGGCAGGAAGTAGTAAATTAAATAATGGTAGATGTACAAGATGTTCAAAACCTACTATCAACAAGATGAAGATAAAATTCTGGACTAGAAAGCCCCAAGCAATCAATGAGAAATAAGTAAATGTTTAAGGCCTAAAAGTCATTTACTCTGGTTTTTGAACTTATGTGCCAGTAACATAATGAGTGATGTAAAGTTGAAAATGTTAAGCGTCTCTGCCCTCTGGGACCTTAGTTTAGTGAGAGACAGATGTGATTAATGCCATAAAAAATGTTCTATGGTAACTCAGAGGCACCCAATTTAGACTAGAAGAGAGGATGTTGGCACAGGCCTGGAAAAGGAAGAAAAGGGAAAGAAACCAGCCATCACTGCAGGCAGAGACAGCAGGTCTAAAGGGCAGCTAGAAATAAGAGTTACAAGACAGCAGATCAAAAAGGACTGTTTTCCATGAACCAAATAACCATCTTCCAGAAGGCCCAACTAACTGCATTCACAACCAGCCTAAAGTTTGATTTCTTCCCTATGCACCTTTGCTCCTGCCACCTACCACACACATTGCAATTAACACACTCCACAATGTCTAACCTCTTGTTTGGGACTGTCCTCTCTCTCAGGATAGGTATGCAGTTAAGTCCAACTGGCTGGAATTTCTTGCAATGCCCTATATACTGGAGCTTCCCAGACAAACACATTACCTTTCATTAAAATCAGAAGAGAGCCAGCTTGGACATTCCCAGATCTTCTTGGCCAGTTGCATTTTCTCCAATCCTGGCAGCACTTTAAAGGCACTTCATCACAGCTGCCCCAGGCCAGAATAAGTGAGGTGTATTTCTTATCTACTAGCTTTAAACTCATTTTCTCTGAACTTTCAATTCCTTTCTTGCTAAAACAATGGTGAGCACACAAAAAACACAAAGAAAAGGTAAAAGCCAAAAGATCTTAGAGCATATAATCACCACCTAGAAGGCCATAGAAATCATAAATTTTCTAAAAACCATCATTCCAAAACCCCTGCAGCCAAAGTCATGCAACAGAACCCATTGTAAAGAAATGGTACATTGGCACTCACATTATTCTAGTCTTCAGATCACCAGCCCTTAAGAAATTAAATTGGAACTAGTCCCTGGAGGGAAACATCATCCAGAAATAACCCAAATAGCTGAAAGGTCAATTTGAAGGGGAAATTGACTGAGTTAAGTGGAAAATAGGCACACAAACTTCCTTAACCAAGACTGAAAACACTTTCAACAATGGAAACAGACTAACAGAATTAGAGACCAGTAGTCTGACCAAGCAATTCTTAGCAAGCATAAATTTCAACATTTAAACTACCTTGGGCGCACCAGTTTCAACATTTACAAATTTTCATCTAACCCTGTGGCTCTCAACGAGGAAAAACTACTTTGAAAATGTAGCCTGCCACAACAAAATAACTGTCCCATCAAAAAACGCCAGTTGTGCTCTCAAATTGAGAAATAGTGAGTAACTGCACCACCAGTAAGAACGCCCTAGTTAATAATAGCTACTCTCCAAATTATATCCACCACCTCAGATTAACTGCAGACACAAACTAAAATCCTACAATGTTTCCTTGAAAGAAACAAATTCCTCACCTGTGAAACTGGGGATTTGACCCACCCATGGTTATTTTTATTAAGTAAGTAGTCTTCTGACTCTTAAGTTCAATACACACTTGACTGGATAATGTTATGGAAGGCATCCTTATCTCCTACACCTCATTCATCTACCACCAAAAACTGCCTATCTGAAGTGACTGATTCTAAAGTTAAAAGAATACTGTCATTTCTCATGCTTCTGCAGCCTCAGAGCCCAGCACAGACTGTGTAGGGTATACCCTACCAGCACCATTCAACTCTCTAAATCAAGAGGTATCTAAATCAGTTATTTTTCCCTGAACTAATTCCTCTGAATGTTCCAAAGGATATTAACAGATGTGGGAAAAGGATTCCACAGGACATACTCAGATGCGGTATGCAGTTTCATTAAAAAATATGAACAGTGAGCACACCTCACAGTATCTTTTAGGGCTAAAATTATAAGCACACTTTGGGCAACTGTGGACTTAACACATTGAACATGTGGAATTATTCTGAAGTTATCCAAGTAAATTTCTTATCCACAACCACTGCACACCCTTAGGAAAGATCCTACTTCATCAAAGTTCAACAGAGTTTCTCTCAGCTTGTGACAGAATTTTGGCTATGGGGAACATATTTCATTTAATGCTCTTTGCTACTCAGATTTGGTAGATTTAAGCAGGACTATAAATTCCAATTCTGGGCATTGAATCTTGCTGTCTGTCAAGCATTTTCAAATATAAAATGCCAACAATGTCCTGAGACTGAATTATGAAAATTAAGTCTCTTAAAAATCTAGTACAGGAAAGGAACTCAGTGCACTCCCCTTACAAAAACGGGAAACAGAAACTAGGATGTATACCTCTTAACCCAGAAGTCTTGCCACGTCTAGCTGCCTCATCCTCTCTAGCCCTATTTTCAGGAAAGTGTACTGAAACAAAAAGATCTAAAGAAAATAACTGACATGGATACAATGTTTTTAAAAGAAGCTCTGGCCAGTTTTATTAAAGAAAAATTTTGCATGATTTACTTTTCACCAGTCTGTTCTGGCATGCTTCTAATGATATCAGAATCACCTAGAAAATAAAACACAATAATTTTACAATTCATTGAATCATCAAATTAGCAGTGGTTATCTTCAAAAGTTATTATACTAGCTGTGCTGTCATTTCTTAAGATTGATCAAAGATACCTGGAGTTACAGACATTTCCCAAATAAGATGCATCAGACAAATCAGATTTGGTTTATCCCCAGCATTTATAAAACCAGATCTAGGGAAAGAACTAGGTCTGGGGACACATGCATGGTATTTTAATATAGCGAATGTTTAGCCTGCTCTGATTATTACAAAATCAGAACAGCGAGAATATTCGCAGTTATCTTATGAATTGATTAAAAATTCCCAAGTTCAAAACATAACAGTACGTGTATTTGTAGGCACTACTTCTTCTCAACTTAGTTTTACCTCTCTGTTCTCAGGCAGCCAGTAAGGATTACCTTCTACTATTTCACCTGATTGTTCTCCCCTTTTATAATTTCACCTTTACCAAGGTCATAAATCATCATTTCTTAGGTGCTTCATCAAACAAAATCTGTGATCTCAAACTAACGAACCATTTAGGAAAAGTCAATTATAGTGTACTGACATTCATTATCAATTCTTTGTAAAATAAAACTACAGGTAATCCCTTGCATATCCAAATTCTCACTGTGTGAACTCAGGAACCAAAAACATTTGTAAAGCAAACAATACCTGTATTACACTGTAGAGGAAGAAAACTTATAATTTAAAAAGCATACCTGGATCAATAATAGCCAGTGTGCACACTCTGTAGTATTTTCCACATGCTGTGCCCAATTCAATATTATTGCCACTGTAGTGATGGACACCAGTTTTGGCCAACATGGCGTAGTACTCTATTTCAGATTTCCTTTGGAAACCAAAAGACAAATAAATAAATGCCATACCAAGTGACTGACAGATGAAATGTTACTACTTCTTAGTTTTATGTTGATGAGGCCTTCAAACAGTAACTAAGCCAGTCACCACTCTTAAAAACATTATCATCATATCTATTAGCCAATACAAACTATCTTTCCTTGGATCCCTTACAAGGGATGGGACAACCAGCAAACATCCATTGAATACCTACATTTAAGACACTTATCTATGCTCAACGGAAAAGAGGGAAGGGTGAAAATAAAAGCATTATTTACTTAATATTTACTACATGCTAGACAGTTTACATTATTTAACTGCCATGACAACCTCTAAAATATTAGGTACTCCATTCTTTTTAATGAAAAAATTGAGGCACAGTACAGGCGGAAGATCCAGGATGCAAAACCCTGTTATCTTTAAAAGGTAACCCATTTTCACCCTCTGGTGCTCTGAATCCTAGATGGGGAGTGATATTACTTAGCCCAGAGTTAACATTTCTGTGTCAGTTGAGTAGGTAGATATTAACGGTTTTACAAATTTGAAGGGAGTCCTAACAGAACCTTGCCACTGCTCAGTGTGGATCCACAGACAGCAGTAGTTTCACAAGATACTTGTTAGAAATGTAAAATCTCAGGTCCCATCCAAGACGCATTAAATCAGAGCCAGCATTTTAGCAAGATGACTCGTGTGATTGTATGCACATTCACATTGGAGAACCACTGCCATAGAAGGTTTGGAATAAGACCAAAAAACGGGATGGGATGGAGAAGAGAGCACTCAGGCTTTGACAGTTAAGTAACAGACACCCTATACAAAACGCTGTGAGCAGGTCACGCATTACCAGAGAAAAGCAATGCGGGTAGGGGACTGATTATATGGCTTACAATTCTTCAAGATCCAAGTTTCTTTAACTTATTTACACCACCAACTGAGTTCAATTTCCAAACAGGGAGTCAAGCAAAAACTTTGGCCCAGAGAATTAACACAGAGGGATGAACTAGGTGATTCTATGATAGCCTGCAGCTCCATTGGCCAGCCTGAACTTTTCTTATCTAGCTTTTCTACACTGAAATAAGTTCATACAATGAAGCACTTTTAAAGCGTTTCAAAGCTAAAAGAATGACCAAAAAGGCAGAACACAAAATACACACAATAACAAATACTCAAACTTTGACGTTCTGTGGTTTACCCTCTCTGCCGTACACTTCCCCCAAGGATACGCTTCACAAGGAGAGAACACGGTGGGGAGAAGGGGATCAAGAGCCAACCACCACAATAGCAACCATTAGTCATTCTAAAAGCCTTCTCTTGTAAAACAAATTTAAATAAAACCGAGTTCTGCTACCCAGATTGCATGTAGTTTACACTCCTGGATATTCGCTCACGAAGAACGTGCAGTGGGCGACACATACTCAGGTCCCTTGGATTACCTCAAAGCTGGGCAGTTGTTGGCGAGGATGACCAGTTTCGCTTTGCCTTGTCTGATCATTTTCAGAGTCTGCTTGTACCCCAGCACGTACTTTCCACTTTTCATAACCAGTTGGAGCCTAGAGTTGATCGACTCCAACGATTTTTTCTACAAAGCAAACATTTAACACGGATGTGAAGGCCTTGTTCGTCACCAGCTCAAAACTGGGTCCAGCTTTCTGGAAGCCGGGCCCCTTAATAAACCTCCGAAGTCGAAGGTCCCAAGTCATTTAAGAGGGCCTCTTGGGTTCCCTGCGAGACCCTCCAATGGCCAGTGGGCACGCTGTGTCCCCGGTGTGCTCAGATCTGCCCGCCCCGGCCGAGACTCATCTCTCCACGTGAATCGGCTTCCAGCCCTGGCCCGCTTCACTCACCGTCTTCTTTGCGGCCACCATCTTCCTGCCTTAGGTGCGGGACGGCCCCCAACCTAAAACATACAGAGCACAGGAAGTTTACGAGCCGCAGCTCCAAACGACAACCCGCGGGGCTCCCTGCGCTGCCTAAACCTCGGCCTGCTGGAGCCCACTCACCAAGAGCAGCCGCCAAGATGGCCGGGGAGCGAGAAAGGAAAGAGCTCCCAAAATGCAAAGCTCTTCACCGCAAAGCCGGGACTCCAGGACCGGAAGCGGAAGCAAATCGAAGGCGGAGGGGGCGGGGCAAGAAGGGGCGCTGTGTTGCCGGTTGCTATAAATACCGCTAGTTAGAGTGGCGGTTGCGGCGAACGCTTCGCCCGGCTGCCGGCCTTAGGCGTCTAGGCGCTGTGTTACTCTGCTGCGCAGAGCTGTGGACTGAGGAACCGAGGGACGTCGAGACTGGCAGGAGTTGGAGAAGCCGACTGAGGGTGAGGCGGGGGGCGTGGCGAGAAGAGGCGGCTGCGGCTGGACCACGGTCTTAGTGCCGCTTTGCTCATTTCTGGAGAGAGTCGGGAGGACCCCGGTGCGCGGCAGCTCCGGGTCTGCGCTCGTCCGTCAGTTCCGCCAGGCTGAAGCAGCTGCGTGCACTCCTGCTCTCGCCCAAGTTGCCGATCCCTCGGAGAACGGTGGCGCCGCGCGCTGGCTCCCCCAAACTCAACTCTTGTGGCTGTGTTAGTGTGAACTTGTAAGCCGAATTTGCAGAGAGCGATAAAAAGGTCCAGTTAAAAAAATCTTTTTGTTGTGAACGTTGGACTTTGACATAAATGTCCAGGGGCGGATCATTCAAAATATTAGGCTCAGAAAGTACCCATCACCACCACCAAAAAAAATGAAAAGTCCAGTCAGACCAGTAGGTAAGCTACTTCGCGTGTCATCGTGCCCTGGAGATCAGGAGGAGCAACCAAAAAAGGGGGGCGGGGGGCGGGGCTAACTGTGCCAGGAACTGTGCTACACCATTCCCCTATTTTATTTGATAGTCACAAAAACTCTTTTGAGATAAGTGACGTTTTTATTCTCAAGTTTCCATATCTAGTGTATTATCGGAGGTAGAGTCAGTACCCAGGTCTGTACTGTAGGTCACTTCACAATTAAAGTTTATTCAAATGTGTGTCCCACTTTGACGTGAAATTAACCAGACAAGTAGGTTGTCATACTACTTTTAACATTTAGGCAGAAATTACTTATTATTGTGCACTTACAGATAATATTTGCCCTCCTCTATTAATGCAGTTCTAAAATATGTTAAGCTCTGTTTTTGCTTGTTAGTAATTTTAGAACAGATAACTAGTCCTCTGATTTAAAGTTAAAGAAACTGAGACCTAGAGAACTTGTGACACTGCTGCCTGATAGTGAAGGCTAAAACGTTATTTCCTCTTTTAATCCTATCCTCGTTTTTCTTTTCTGATCCATGTAAATGTTTCAGTTGTGGTTGTCACGCTGTTATAAAAATTGAATCATCTACTTAAGAGCACTTTCTGTTACAGTTCATGGCAGGTACAATTTGGAAATATTTAGAGTCTGCTTTGGCATTAGACATTCAGGTATGCATTTTTTTTCCCCATTATCATTAAACATTCTTGTTAGGCACTTGATATGGAAAGAACATAATACATCTTACCCTCAAGGGTCTAATAGTCAAGTTGAGAAGACAAGACCTATAAAAAGACACTTAGCATAGTTCTAATTGCCATGTATGAGTATGAAATCGTGATCACAGACGTTGCATGAATGGTACCATGTACCAGGTCCCATGTTAGGCCTGGTCATATAAGATGCCCTGGGAAACTTTGCAGTCTGTGTCTGGAAGAAGACAAACAAATAGCATAATGTGTTTATTCAATTTAACAAATATATTTGACAAATTCAACATCACTCTAGGTACTAAGAATATACAAATACATGGTATCTGTTCTTAAAGAGCATACTATCTAGCTGGGCCTTATAGAAGAGTAATATTAAGAATAATTAACTTTTGCATAGACTTTAATGTACTTTTCACAAATCTTAACTGATGGTTACAATAACCTCATAGGCATTATTATCATCTTTATTTTACAGAGGATAAAACTAGAGAGAAAAGTGGTTAAATAATTTAGTGAAGGTTAAGACAGATCAGTGCTGAGATTTAAAGTCAGGTCTTCTGCAGGATTATCTGAAATCAAAGCGGGATGCATTCTAGTCGGAGAAGAGCAGAAGCAGAGCTAAAAGCATGATCAGAGAGTGGATGGTACAGTTTGGCTGGCATATGGCATTCATGAGGGGGAATGGTGAGAAAAAAATACAAAAAAAGTGAAACATTTAAGATTTAAATGTTATGAGTAAGTTTGCTTTAGCATAGAATTTTAAGAAATCATTTTATGCTTAAAATTTTACTTCATTGTCTAGTCTTTTTCCAGAAATCTATTTAAATCCCTGGATCTTTGTCCATTATTGAAGAGCCCTTGGGAGAGGCTCCCTCAGTTTTCAGCATTTTTAAGGGCAGCATGCCAACCAATTATTCCATTGCTAATGGGAACTGAAAACACTGAAGGCACTAAAATTAAATTGTCACCAAAAAGATTAAAATTAGATATAAAATAGGTTGGGGAAATAGGCTCTTTAAGGACAGATTGACGGTATGTCAAAACATAAAATGAACTTACCCACATGAGCATTTTGTGTAGGGACTGAAGATCACAGTGGTTTCTAGAATGAGGTCGGAGGCTGGAAGGAGGTAAGGAAACACTTTAATTTTATTCCCTTTGTGCTATTTGAGTCTTTTGGCTCAGCAATTCAACTTTTAGGAATCTCTCCTACAATAACAGTTACAGTTGCTCAAAGACATGAACAAGGATATTTATTTAAACGTTATTTTTAATAGCAAAAAAAAATTAGAAACAACATCAAATGCTCATCATTCTTAACCAATATATATGTTTGTATATACATAGAAAATTCAAGTCTGGAAAGCTGATCATCAAAACTTACCTCTGGGTGAGAGATGAGAAGAGTAGGTGGTGAGGAGAGGACATTTACTATTTACTTTATTTCAGTACTGCTTGAATTATTTTACACTGAATTATTTTATAGCATGCAGTAATTGTTACATAAAAAGTTCCATTTTAATAATAAAGTGGTTATTTTCAATAGATCATTTGAAAAACATCAATTATATCTCAAAGTATGCCTCCCAGATCACTTGATTCAGAATCAACTTGAATTCTGACTCCTGGGCCCCACCCAGGTCTGTGGAAAAAAATCTCTGGATGTGGGGCCTGGGAATCTGAATTTAATAAGCAGCCTCGATGATTCTTTTAAATACTAAAATTTGAGAAGTAGAGAACTAAAGAATGAGATAGCCAAGTTGGTTCTGAGGCATGCCTGCTTAAATAGAAATATAAACTAAATGATAATGCCTTACACTTTCTTATTGAGCTCTGTACTTTCAAAGCTCTTTAATATTTGCTTTTCCCAAAGTAATCAGGATAGACATTACCCCCATTTTAGAGAGTGAATGATTAAACCACTTGAGATGACTTTCTTGAGGTGTTTTTCATTATTTGATACCAAGTTTCCTGTCCTTACTGTTATGTCCTCATTATGCTTTAAAAGAAAGGCCTTCATTACTTTCTCCCAGGGGCCTTACAGTGGTTTTGTACTGGAAACCAGAGAAGTCCAAAGCACTTCATTTTTGTGTATGAATCATGACCACAGAATGAGAATTCTTCCTAGGAAATGTTAACTGAACCTGCTGTATCTCTTTGGAGATAGACTTACATTCTTCATTTTCTATGCATGAATTTGGACAACTTATCTAACCTCCCTAAGCCTCAGTTTCCTCATCAATAAAATTAGAATAATGTCTACCTTCCAGTGTTGTTGTTGAGGATCACCGTAAACATAATAGTGTTAAAGCACCTGGCACAGGGCCCTGTACAGAATAAGTATGTCTTCCTCAGTCCCAATCCCACCTCCCCAACCTCCCCACTGCAGCCACCCACCCACACCCAGGTCATTCACAACATCACAAAACCTGTACACTAGAGGAAGAAACACTTGGCATGCAAAATGACAGTCAAATCCTTTGGCTCATGAAGATTTTGTAAAGATTTCCATGCTTGTATTTATTAGAGCAAGAGTTGCCAAACTTTTTCTGTACAGGGCCAAATAGTAAATATTTTAGGCCTTTCAGACCATATGGTCTCTGTGGCAACTGCTCAACTCTGCTGTTGTAACACGAAGGCAGCCAAAGACAATATGTAAATGAATGGGCATGGCTGTGTTCCAGTAAAACTTTACAAAATCAGGCAGCTGGCTGGATTTGGCCTGTGGGCCATGGTTTGCTGACCCCTGTGTTAGAAAATTACTGTTATTAAAAATAGCTACTTTTCATGTCTGTATGGTGACAGATAAAAACTAGCCTATTGGTAGCGAGCACCATGCAGTCTACACAGAAACTGAGATATAGTAATGTACACCTGAAATTACACAATGTTATAAACCAATATGACCTCAATAAAATTTCAAAAAGAAAAAATAGCTACTGTAAGTCATAGAGAATGTCCTTAGTCTAAAGAGATGTATGTTGAAGTAATTACAGATGAAGTGTCATGATATCTGCAAATTATTTTCAAATTGCTAAAATAAATGTAGATAACTGACAGGTAGGTAGGAAGAACAAATGCAGCAAGGTGTTAACATTTGTTAATTTTAAGTGGAGGGTATATGGGTGTTTGTTGTACTAATTGACTTTTCATAAGTTCGAAAATCTTAATACTAAAAAGTCGGGAAATTTATATGTTTTGAGAAAGGACTTTGCCATGCAGACATTATTTTATTTTTTCTGGATCCTAGTCTGTAGCATTCAGAGTGATCTTAAAAGAATACCAACAGGTAAATGTGATAGGACAGAATTAACACGAGGCTCTCCTTTGGTTTTTCTTCACGAAAATCACTGCTCCAAGTTTCTGAGAACTCTGCAGGCACCTGCATTTGTGATGCCTCTGGCTTTTACTTGCTGTGAGAATTAAAACTGACAGGCTGCATTCCCTGTAAGAGCAAATACTAACAAGTTCATCTGATATTCACTGGTTCAGCTCACTGACTCATCCCTTATTGTTATGCAGTTAAAACTACCATATTCTTTATCATCGACTATTATTTATTCGGTGTCCAGATTAGCAAGTGGCCCATTAGTAATTGAGAACTCTGTCTTAACTCAGCCTTCACATCCTTAAGTCACCCTGGACATTAAACGTGCTCACAGATATGGCTGGGAGGGAGAGGGACAGTGAATCCAAGTGAAAAGACCCTGCAAATTCAGGGAGTGTTGGCGGCCTTTCAGCTAACTAAACACACCTACACCTGTACAGGAATTCTCAACACTTAGAGGACAAGAGGGAATGCTGCTCCTTGTTCATCTCCGCTCTCTCTGCCTCTGCAATAATAAAGAATCAGAAATATTTCTCCTATCGCCTTTCTGTTCAGACCGGGAATCTTCCAGACTGCACTTGATTAAAAATAAGCCAGAGAAATGCTTTCTCCTATTTTTTAAAGCATTTTTCCATCCAAGGAAGCATATTTTTTTATACTCTTGGATATAAAGAACGCAGAGTACTTTATTCACTATTTTACTATGGAAGAGTGACACTTTTGGAAAGTAGGGTGGTGTCCATAAAGGTTGGTCTTTTGGTCATTTTTTATTTCTTAGAGTCAGTTTTTGAAATTTTCATATAAATGGCTTCCTGTGTTTCTAAGTGTCCACAAAAGTATGATGTTGTACATATTATTTTTAACAATTTGAAAAGCCTACCATGTACTTTTATCCTTAATAAAGTTGTAATACATAGGCTAAGACATCAAGATACTATTGGCCTTTAAAGTCACAGTATCAGTTATCATCAGGTATTATCAAGATAAGACTATAAGGAATAAGGCAGGACAAGTAATTGCTAAGAAGGAGAGCTGTCAGGGAGAGGGAAGGTAGGGTAAGCATTGTATATTATTCTAAATACTTTTGTAAGCAACAGAAACAAACTAGCTCAGTTAAGAAGAAAAGGAATTTATTTTGTAGTTCATCAAATGAACAAGAAGCCTGGAGAGCAAGACCCAGATGTGCATATACTGGTCATGGGAGAAGCAGACCCATTTATTAGTCACTGGTGCAAAGCACACTCTGCAAACCACAGGGCAGCATCCCAACCTTCAAAGGTGTTTAATTTTGGTTGCTGCCATAACTGAGTGTTTAATGTTCCATTCCATCATTCTGTAAGTTTAGCTTCTGGACGATGAGGTACATGGAAAGACCAGTAAATCACATAGCAGTTAACCTATTCCCTTACTTGTCTCACACTAAAGTGAGTTCTTTCAGCCATAAGAAATAATGAAATCTGGCCATTTGTGACAACATGGATGGACCATGCTAACTGAAATAAGTAAGGGAGAAAGTCAAATACTGTATGATCTCACTCAGAAGAAGAAGATAAAAACGGAGACAAACACATAGCGACAGAGATTGGATTAGTGGTTTCCAGAAGGGAAGAGGGGAGGCACAAGGGTAAAAGGGATGATTACGCACATGTGTGTGGGGATGGATGGTAACTAGTCTTTGGGTGGTAGACTTGATGTAATCTACACAGAATTCGAAATATATTACGATGTACACCTGAAAGTTATATAATGTTATAAACCAATGTCACTGCAATAAAAAAAATGTTTAAAAAAACGTGAGTTCTTTGATGATACAATGCTGAATGTAATGTCTTGATGGATATGTAATGTATTGATGATATCATTCACTAATGGATGGTGCTGGCAGAGGCATGATGGGCAGGAAAAGCAAATCTAATCCAGTATCTGTTAACAGTAAAGATTATCTGCTGTCCCCAAAAAGGTTCAGTCAGTATTCCATGAGGTGGCTGAGAGGTCCCCTAAAAGAATGGGTACTGTTTCAGAGGCTTACAGTTGGTCTCTCTTGCTGCTAATGGCAAATTGGACACTTAGCAAGGCAAACCATGGTAAGTGGAGGAGCATGGTATTGAGCCCATACCTGGCTTCCATCCCTATTTCTATGGCCATTTTATTCCTGAGCCCATTGAGCAAGCACTGGGGTAGCTCATGAGAAATACTCATTATTATTGTTCACCTGATTGTAAAATGCTTCTGCTGAAGAAAATGGAAGCGGCCATGGCTAAACTAACGAATTATATCTGAGGAAAAGTAAGATAACCCAGGCAAGTACTAAAAAATAATTGATGGGGAATGGGGGCCAGCCCCATGGCCGAGTGATTAAGTTCATGCGCTCCGTTTGGTGGCCCAGGGTTTCGCCAGTTCAGATCCTGGGCATGGACATGGCACTGCTCATCAAGTCATGCTGAGTCGGCATCCCACACGCCACAACTAGAAGGACCCACAAAAAATATACAATTATGTACCAGGGGGCTTTGGACAGAAAAAGGAAAAATAAAATCTTTTTTAAAAAAAAACTTCCTTAATTGATGGGGAAAAGGGGGAACGTAAATGGGCTAACTAAGCCCTGGTTTAGCATGAAAGCATTAAGATTCAGAGAATTTCAAGTTATGTATTTACATGTAACTAATCTCTGAGTTATGGCATCTCTTTTTGGAAAGAGGGAAGTTTTGAAAATTTTTCAATTAGCTAAATAAAATGAAATATGACTTTAAAAATAAAAAAGAGCATTGTCTGTAGACGGAGCCTGCTATGGATTAACTTGCCTCCTCCTCTCTACCCCACCGACAAATTCATATGTTGAAGCCCTAACCCCCAATGTGACTCAATCTGGACATATGTTCTTTAGGAGGTAATTAAGGTTAAATGAGGTCATAAGGGTGGGGCCCTAATCCATTAGGACTGTCGCCTTATAAGAGGAGGAAGCTATCCTTCTCCCCACAATAAGGACACAGTGAGAAGATGCCATCTGCAAGCCAGAAAGAGAGCCCTCACCAGAAACCAAATTGACCAGTACCTTGATCTTGGACTTCCCAGCTCCAGAACTGTGAGAAATAAATTTCTGTCATTTAAGCCTCCAGTCTATGGTATTTTGTCATGGCAGCCCAAGCTGACTAATACAGGGCCTTTTGACAGTGTTTATATAAGACATAAGATGTTCCCCAAATCTAGGCCCATTCTGAAAGGTGCATCCATGTTCGTCTCCCCTAAACTTCCTTGCACCAGTCCTGTAATCGTGCTCCTTCCAAGGTCCTGACTTGGAATCCAGCCAAATCATTAGCCACATTCAAAGTACTTCTTTTTTCTTAGGGTACAGTAGCCCTGGCTAGAAGGTTAGGAGGAAGAATCTGTACGTATCTGTAATGCTATGAAGGGTCCTTCCTCAGAGGTCTCCAGTCTGCTCTTCATTCAGAGGGATTTGTGAACTGATTGCTGGGTGGCCAAGGCTTTGTCAGGCCTGCATCACAGCAGGGAGAGGGAAAAAAAGGAAGAAAGAAAGACGAGAGTGGATCAGGACGGGGAGTGGGAGAGAAGGAAGAAAGGGAGGGAGAGACTTCTAAACCTATGGTAAATCTTTGCATTCCATGGCATTTATAGGGAAATATACCCAATTTTAGGCAATTTGAGCATCAAAATAATGATAGTGTTATGGACTGAATTTTGTCACCCCAAAATTCATTTGTTGAAGTCCTAGCCCCCTGACCTCATAATGTGGCTGTATTTGGAGATGGGGCCTTAATTCAAAGAGGTAATTAAGGTAAAATGAGGTCATATGGGTGAGCCCTAATCCAATATGACTGTTGTCCTTAAAAGTAGAAGAGATTAGAACACAGACACCCAAGGCGGGAAGACCATGTGAAGACACATGGAGGAGACAGCCATCTACTAGCCAAGGAGAGAGGCCTCAGAATGAAACTAACCCTGCTGACACCTTCATCTCAGACTTGTAGCCTGAGAACTGTGAGAACCTAAATTTCCGTCACCCAGTCTGTTGTACTTTGCTATGGCAGCGCTAACAAACTAACACAGATGGTGAACATGACCCATTGAATAATGTAGGAATTCATGTGTATTTACTGATATAAGTGAAAAATAAATGGAGAAAAAGGGAATGTGTGCTCTTACATTAGAGTGCCAACTAATAAATGTAGAAGGAATAATGTAATTAGAAAATTACCATTGATAACCATCATAAAAATAATTGATCCAAGCAGGAATATTAATATATGCTAAAAGTGGCAGATAAAAGTTTGATGAGAAATAAGATAGTTAAAGTCTCTCCTCATAAATTATACAGTAAAATAGTAACTTTTCAGTGGAGAAGCCTGACAGACACTACCTTAACTACATTACCAATAATAGGGCAAACTGACATCATATGCCTCTTGATATGAATACACAGACAACATAACTTCTGTGTATTCCAGCCCAAACTGCATCGCCTGAAAACAATCATAAGGAAACATCAGACAAACCCAAATTGAGAAATGTTCTACAAAATAAATGGCCTGTTCTCTTAAAAAATGTTAAGTTCATGAAAGACAAAGACTGAGGGAACCACAGTACTTCAGATTAAAGCAAACTAAAGAGAGATAAGACAACTAAATGCAGTGTGTGGTCCTGGAGTGGGTTGACCAAAATTGAATACGAGGGTGGGTTAAATAGTATTGTGTCAACATTAAACTTCCTTGTGGTAGCTGTACTGAAGTTACGTAAGAGCAAGACTGTCATCGCATAGCAAACTGAGTCTACCAATCAATAGCCACCGGCCACATTCGCCTCCTCCCCTCCCCAGCTATTTAGCGATGATTCAGATGAGCCCTCCCAGCCCTTCGCCTCTGCCCGGACATCATCCCTATCCCTGCTTCAAAGGCCTTTTTCCTCTTCTCCTTTACCATTACCTCCACCTTCTGCCCACCTAACTCCCTGTCCCTGTCCTCTTCTGCCTCCTCGCTCCCGGCTCCCTAGCTCCTTCCACCTCCGCGCGGCTCCCTTTCCTCTCCAGGTGCGCACCCCAACCCCGGCGCTCCGCTGTGCGCTTGCGCTCTGTGCCCGCGGGAGCCGAGAGGGCAACCGGTGGAACTTGGGCGCCGCGACTGCGGTTTACACAGGATCCAGGCCTGGGGGCCGACGCCCGCGCCGGCGTGGGACAGGTGGCTGCTCTCGCCCATACCGCAGCCCTTCTGCCCGCGATGGGCTGCTCCAGCAGCGTCCTCAGCAAGGCCGGCGACAGCAGCAGGCCCCGCAGCGGTGAGCAGGGGACCTGGCTGCACCCCGCCCGGGCCTCGGGCTTCAAGTCGGCTTGCTTCCTGGGGGTACGAAAGATGCCACTCATGCCCACCCCGCCCAGCAGGGAGCGGGCTCTTCCCTGAGAATGTGAGTGGAGTCCTGAGCGCAGGGCGACTCCCTCCGGAAATCTGGAGCTGGGCTGCTGTGACCCGTGGTGAGGAGGTCCCGGGGCGCTCCGCCGTGCACGCTGTCCGAGGTGCGAGGCCAAAGGGCGGGCGCTCGGGTTGCACTGTCCGCCGATGTGATCGGGGGAATTGGTGTTAAATCCTTAACACTATTACCCACAGCGGTCTCTGAAACAGATGGGAAATTTCCTATCTTTGCAATAGGTGCTATTTTCCTGAAAGTACGAAATTTCAGATTATATAAAGATGCAAATTCACTGGGAACCATTAGTTTCTGGTCGTAAGGAGACAGGTGATACCCATTTTTCTGTCAAGACCTTCTCCACCTTGCCCTTCTGTCAGCGTTTCAGCATCGGAGATGGCAAAGGATATGGAGAGTACTACAGATGGGCATTCACTCCATCAGATAGGTTCTTGCCCTTTTGAAGAGGTCAGATACACCTTCCCCTTCCTTGGCTTAAGTATTTCTTGACAAATATGCATGTGATAAAAAGTGGTCATCACTGAATCTTATAAAGAAATTCAGCGAGTATGTTTCGAGCGTCTGCTATATAATAGCAGGTGCGTGGCTAGATGTTGGAGATACAAGTGACCCGACTTTTGGGGTTTGGAGGTGGAAGAGGTAGACAATAAACAAATGATTAAGATAGTTTCTAACAGTGACAAGTACTGTGAAAAGAATAAAAGCAGATTAATAAAGTAGACAATAACTGAGTTTTACAGCTGACTCAGATTTTGAATGGCTAACATTTTGGACAAAGCTCTGAAGGTGAAGCAAATTCCTTCAAGCTAGTTCGCAGTCTTCTTCAAGGCTAACTTTAGGGGATATTTCACACTTTGGAATATCAAAGGATATTCCTTTTCACAGGTCCTCTTTTAGCACCTCGTGTTATTCCAATAGCGTGGGAATGTCTTCCTCTCTGATTTTGCAGTAGAGAGTACGGTTTTCATGAATGCTCTTTCAAAGCTGTCCTAGTCAGAAATATGTTGTATTGCACTCATTTTTGTGTTCTATAATAATTTATTTCTAGCTTCAGTAGATAACAGAAAGCAATAACACGTTCGGAAATAAACAAAAAATTAAAGCCGTTTATAAAAGTGATTCTGAACACCTTGTCAGTGACAACAATGTGAAGAGATGGAAAAATCCATTCCTAATGTACAGCGCTTGCTAACCTTTCTCCTAAAGAGGTGAAGGCCTCTGTACCCAAAATATGCTCTCAAGAGATCAGTACAAGGAGCAGTTTCTTTGATGTTTCATGTTTTATTTTGTGAAGTCAGGTGGATTTTGCATTCTGTTCCATGATAAATCCTTGTTGGTTTCAATATGAAAAACTGATGCTTTAGGAAGATGCACCATATTATTTTGGCTTCTCTTATCCCCTGCCATGCCCCAGATATCCTAGGATAGCATCCTGGCTTAAAAAGCAGAGCATTAACTCATCATTACAGATTTTTTAAACTGATAAAAACATGTATTACAGGCAATGTTACTGTTGGGGAGGGGCAAAAGTAGCCATAGGTGGAATGGGGTTTTTAATCCTCTCAGAAAATAATGAACCACCTTGTTTTTAAAAGACATTTTATTGCCAATATTAGTAACCATCCACATGAGTCATACCCTTTCATTTTTTATTCATGCTTTCGTTGCTATTCTAAGTTTTCTCGGATGTTGTTCTGAAAGAAATGTTAAAATGCCTGACAACCACTTTCAGTGCATAGAAAATTAATTAATATACTGCATACATTGCTCAATGCACATATTGCATCAATCGACAGGTGTATTTTGTTGCTGGTCCTGAATCAGACGATGCTCTCTTGTAATAGAATACTATTGTATGTTCATCAGCATTTCAACTCCTGATCTTGGAGGCCCGATAAATAATTCATTCCTGTTTCTGCAGCTCAGAACTTCTTTAAATATTATGTACTGTACAGTTGCAAGTCAGTGTGTATGTGCTTTTGGATAAAAACAGTCCAAGTTTGTGAAATGTTCTGTACAGACATTTACTCACTGTCCTCCCTGGTGCCTAACAATGCTTGATACATAATTGTTGAAGTAAGTGCTTCATTTAATCCTTAAAACAATGCTGTGACTAAGTATGTATTATGATTTTCCTTAGTTTACAGATAAGAGTAAATAATTTGCCCAAGGTCACAGGGCTCCTTAAGAATCAGAGCTGGGCTTCAAATTCAGATACCCTAATTCCAGAGCTTGACCTATTCTTCCTTAAACCAGCTTAGTGATAACTAGACTTAAATCTGTTTTTGCCTCAGACCACTCTGGATCCCCATTAGATGTGTGGTCATCCACTATGGAAACAACAAAAGAAATATAATAAAGTGTGTGAGAGTATTTATTATAATTTAATAAATTTAATAATATATAATTATAATAAGAGTATTTATTATAATCCCTAAATAAGATAATAAATATGCAAATATATGTAACATATAAATTATATGTAATATATAAATATATATTAATATACAATATATATTAATATATACTATAACTATAATAAATATTATAATAAGTAAGATATTTATCTCTAAATAAGAGTCAGTAAAATATCAATTTTATATTTGCTTCCAAATTTAAACTAGGAATATTTGGAGGACGTTTAACCTTAGAGATATTTTAAGCAGAGTACATAGATGTAGAGAAACTTCCAGTGCCCTCCCATGGAGATACAGATAATCTTCATATCATAAGAGATTCTTTTAAATTCACAATATCAACCTTAGAACTCCATGGGTTAAATCTAAAATACATCAACTAGCCCGTAGACTGGATTTATGTTGACAGTTCCACCTAACAATTTTCTGTAGCTGGCTTAAGAACTGTTATATACTATGCAATATTAGCCTACAAGCAAAAGAATCATAAAATAATGGGTTGGACTAGATTACCTCTAAGATCTCTTATGGCTTTAAAAGGTTGTAACATTAAAATATGAAGGTACTTATTTTCTGGACTCAAATTTAAATCAGATATTAGCTACTGATTAGGTAGCCAATAGGCTGAATAGGAAAATCCATTCTATTGATCTGGTGGAGACGTGTGTTCTAACCTATCAGATGCTGAATCCCCCCAAAGACCCATGGCTAGAGAAAGAGCTGTGTGTGGAGGGGGAGGCGGGGACAGAGGTGGAGACTGGCCTTGGTTGTAAATAATTATCCAGTGCTACTCAAAGTGTAGAACAATGCCTGGCACTTGGTAATCACATGTAGACTTTTACTGAAAGTCCTGAAATGTGTGAAGAAAGAGGCTTTTCTTTCCAAAAAGACCATTAGACCAATTGAGTTTGGAATTTCATGTGTTTTTGGAAGAAAGTTCTAAATATTGGGACAATTTCTGTTCTTTTCAGTGCCCTGAGGATCTGATGGAATTTGAACACAGCTTTTGTTGACTTCACAGACTTTAATGGACCCAACAGTTTCTAGACTTTTGGCATCCAAACCCTCCTCCCATTGCTACCAGCCCCCTGCTTATAAATGTAATCACACCTTTACTCTTTCCTAATATAAATGCCATCCATTTCTGGCAGTCTTCTTCCTGAGATTTTATAGCTTAAGCACCAATATGGACTAAGTAAACAGATGGGCATTATTGAAAAATTCATTGCTAGGTTAATGTGTACATTTCCACGGACAGCTATAACCATGTGTTTGTTCTCACCTGAACTCTCATTAGCTACTTGGAGTCCATGCTGCCTAGGCAATAGGATGAGGCTTGAATTTCACACAGTTGAGTGAATTGTTCTTTGTACTGTGGAGACAGCTTCAGTCTTCAACCAATATTTTCACACATTGACATTTCAGTCCTAAATAGAAAAACATTTTTCTTTTGTAATTGAGGAACAAACATCATTAATATTAAAATGAATTTTTATAGGCTTTTCTTGCATACAGATATTGTATAAATGGGATTTCTTTCTTTTCAATGCCAGAAGTCTCTGGACTGAGTCTTTTTTTTTTTTTCAGGGTCTTTTGTTGTTTCATATAAGTTTTAGGATTCTTTGTTCTATTTACTTAAGGAATATCACTGGGATTCTGGTGCATTGAATCTGTAGATTGCTTTAGGTAATATGGACATTTTAACTATATTTATTCTTCCAATCCATGTGCATAGAATATCTTTCCATTTCTTTATGTCTTCTTCAATTTCTTTCAATAATGTCTTAGAGTTTTCGTTTATAGGTCTTTCACCTCCTTGGTTAAACTTATTTGTAGATATTTTATTCTTTCTGTTGTGATTGTAAATGGGATGGTATTCTTGAGTTCTCTTTCTGCTAGTTTATTAGTGTATAGAAATGCAACTGATTTTTGTAAGTTGATTTTGTACTCTGCAACTTTGCAGTAGTTGTTTATTGTAGTTTTCTGGTGGATTCTTTACGGTTTTCTGTATATAGAATCACATCATCTGCAAACATTGAGAGTTTCACTTCTTCCTTGCCAATTGGGATACCTTTTCTTTCTTTTTCTCACCTAATTGTTCTGGCCAATACCTCCAGTACTATGTTGAACAGGAGTGGTGAGAGTGGGCACCCTTGTCTTGTTCCTGGACTGAGTCTTGTATGTCTTTGTGTCCCATCTAGAGCTGGACCCACAGAGAATGCACAGTAAGTCTGCGGTAGATCTGGTTATTATATATAGCTAATTAAAATGCAATGTAAGAAATCCATATGTGGTTCAAAAATTTGAAAACATTTGAAAAATGCATGCAGTGAAAAGTACACCTCCCACCCCATTCCCATCTGCTTAGTTCCAGTCACACTCATGGGTAAATACTTTTTTGTGTGTATTCTTCCAGGGTTTCTTTATACATTGCAA